ACAAAGTCATTCCTAAATCAAGATGATCTTCATCTGCTGCTTGTCTCAACAAAGTCATTCCTAAATCAAAATTGCCATAAAGCACTCATCCTGTTGATAGTATAACAATATCAGTATATATGTATCACAATATTGTCCGCTTTGGGCCACTCGGCACGAGGACTTCCCAGGGGGTCACCCATCCCGGTACTACTCCCGCCCGAGCACGCTTAACTGCAGAGTTCTTATGGGATCTGCTGCCCTCACGGTTTTAAAACGCGTTGTGATAGGGAAGGTATCCACACCCTTTATAAGGAATGCTTAGTTCTCATTCCCAGCCGATGTGGGATCAGATCTAACCCACTTTCACCCCCCATTATAGGGTTCGACGTCCCCGTCGAACACATCGACCCGTGCCCTAGCTTTGATACCATTTGTAACACCCCCCTCTGGCACGTATCACAATATTGTCCGCTTTGGGCCACTCGGCACGAGGACTTCCCAGGGGGTCACCCATCCCGGTACTACTCCCGCCCGAGCACGCTTAACTGCAGAGTTCTTATGGGATCTGCTGCCCTCACGGCTTTAAAACGCGTTGTGTTAGTGAAGGTATCCACACCCCTTATAAGGAATGTTTAGTTCTCCTTCCCAGCCGATGTGGGATCAGATCTAACCCACTTTCACCCCCCATTATAGGGTTCGACGTCCCTGTCGAACACATCGACCCGTGCCCTAGCTCTGATACCATTTGTAACACCCCCCTCTGGCACGTATCACAATATTGTCCGCTTTGGGCCACTCGGCACGAGGACTTCCCAGGGGGTCACCCATCCCGGTACTACTCCCGCCCGAGCACGCTTAACTGCAGAGTTCTTATGGGATCTGCTGCCCTCACGGCTTTAAAACGCGTTGTGTTAGTAAAGGTATCCACACCCCTTATAAGGAATGTTTAGTTCTCATTCCCAGCCGATGTGGGATCAGATCTAACCCACTTTACTTGAAACGACCAAAAATACGACCCAAAAATTTTCGTTTTTAATACAATCAAAACTATAATCAGAGTATCATATAAATAAACCATGCGTGATATGTCCCAAAATATAATAAAGTACTGTGCGGAAACTGTATCATACTACATCGAATCAACAACTAAATCAAATCCAAACTAAAGCTGAGGCGGTGGTGTGTGCGATGCCGTCACCCCGAGCTCTTCCCTTTGCTTGCGGAAGTACCTGAAACCAAAACTGGAACTGTAAGCACGAAGCTTAGTGAGCTCCCCCAAATTACCACATACCATACAAAAACATATAAACACATATTGGGCCTTGCCCACTGCATCGGGCCGGGGCCCGGAAACTGCATCGGACCGAAGTCCGGAACTGACTGGGACCTTGTCCCCTGCATCGGACCAAAGTCCGGAACTAACTGCATCGGACCGGAGTCCGGAACTAACTGCATCGGACCGGAGTCCGGAACTAACTGCATCGGACCGAAGTCCGGAACTGACTGGGACCTTGTCCCCTGCATCGGACCAAAGTCCGGAACTAACTGCATCGGACCGGAGTCCGAAACTAACTGCATCGGACCGGAGTCCGGAACTAACTGCATCGGACCGAAGTCCGGAACTGACTGGGCATAGCATAGCATATCATAACAATTATACTGCCTACTGCATCGGGCCGTAGCCCGGATCATAAACACATACACATAGCGCATAAATCATGTCTGAACCACGAAGGCATCAAACATACTAACTACTACATCGGACCGAAGTCCGGAACTACTACTAACTGAACGGGCCGGCATTGTGGCCTTAGACCCGTCCCTACTGGAAGGAAACTCACCTCGTAAGCTAGCGGATGAGTGTGTGGCTCGGAAAGCTAACGGCTGCTGCTCCTGAATCTCCTCGGCTACAAATCCATAAACACACTCAATCAATCACTAACACTACACTCGGGGTAAAATGACTCTTTTACCCTTGGTCAAAGTCAACTTACTCAGGGCTGACTCGCCGAGTCGGGATACCCAACTCGCCGAGTCCTAGACTCTCCTCACAACTCTTACACGCTGATACTCGTCGAGTGTGGCATCGACTCGACGAGTACCCTCTGGATCCAAGAACTCAGATGATCTTCATCCGACTCGCCGAGTCGGGTGAACAGACTCGACGAGTTGTTCTTGATCCCTAAGAAGATTGCCTTGGACTCGCCGAGTTGTATGAACAAACTCGCCGAGTCCCTCCATCACTGAGTCTACTCTCAACTCGCTGAGTCCACTCCCTAACACACCTCGCCCACTCGACACTGAAGAAACTGAAGAACTCGGACTCGCGACCTGACTCGTCGAGTCGTTCTTCCGACTTGCCGAGTCGCCGCCATGCAACAGATTTTTACTCGATTTCTCTTGAATCCAACACATGCAAATGATAGATCTAGGTCCAATAAGCTGTATTATCACGTAAAGTTTCCAACTTTACGTGCACAACCACATGAATAAGGGAAATAAGACTAAAAGATGCACAACAAGAGTAGATCCATGGCTAATATGCAATGTAACTCCAAAAAGACAGTAGATCTGGGCTCTACAACACCCCAACACTCAGATCCAAAGGTATTTCGACTTATTAACACATTCATGCAAACATAAAGCTTGGAACAAACATCAAATAGCCCTTAAAAGAGCTCTAATGGAAGTTTAAGCATATAACCAGAAGGGGAACTCCGAAAATACCTCAATAAGCTCAGATTTGACCTTGGATCTTTGCACTACAACTCGTTTCCTTGCTTCCTTCTTCTTCTCCTTCTTCACACCTTCACAAAATGGAACTAAATCACTTATAAGCTCACAAATGGAGGGATTAGGGTTTCTCACAAAGCTCTCAGGGTGATAGTGGCGAGAATGAGGCTATAATGGGGTTTAAATAGTGGGCAAACCCGGGGATTTAGTGTTTCATCCAGACGGACGGACTCGCCGAGTCCAGGATATGGACTCGCCGAGTCGCCGGCTCCCGCGTGCACAAAATGCGCGACCCAACTCGGCGAGTCAGGCTAGAACTCGCCGAGTCCCTCTTGAAAACTTAGACAAATTTACAATTTATTAACATACCGGAAACGGGTCGTTACAATATAACATCAATGACACTAAATATTAATAAATGGTATAGATCACATATAATTACTGAAACTACTCATACAATTCCTTGTCTGAACATGGCTTCAATGTTATTATGCAATGCGCATGTGCGTATAAATAAATCATCTTTCAGATTTTCGGGACTCGTTCCTTCAAACATGTCAATGCTTGTTGTTCTGTCCACTGGAGGATCACCCTCTGCTTCATACATCTTCTTTGAACTTCAAAAATTTAAATACATAGAAAACAACAAACAAATAAAGTTTTATTTCATCAAATATACATTCATTAGTTGATGTTTAATAAGAATTACCAAAGTCTTGCAGAGAAGATGTCTTTCGCAAATTCTGACCCTAATACTACAAATATCCGACTCAAAAGCTCTAGTAGGAGATCATCTAACGAATGGCGACTTCTAGTATTCAACATTCTACTTACAAAATACACATTGGAGTAGTTGATTTCAATTTTTTTTAAAAAAAATTAAGCGTAACTATGAAAGACAGTGTAACAGGGTATGGAAAAAAACTTACTTTATGTTGATCTGGTCAAGAGGAGTATAGGAGTCTCTATTATCGAAGAAAATCGTTTTTGAGAACGATTATCCTTCGACGATTTGGGGGTTTTAGTGTTTGTATGCAGATTTATCGTCCGGAAAAATTGAGGTGTTCTGAATGGTTGAAGAACTGAAATGCCGCGTGACGTCAAAGGTATGATGGCGCCTTAATTATTTAGAATGCAAAAAGACCAAATTGCCCCTGAAATCATTCCAAATATTTGAATAATAAGGGTATTTGTGTCAAAACACATATTTAAATATTATAGCCTTTTATAGCTAGGTAACATTGGACTTTTGATTGTTGAAATGAAAAAGACAAAAGTAATATATATATATATATATATATATATATATATGTAACATTGGACTTTTGATTGTTGAAATGAAAAAGACAAAAGTAATATATATATATATATATATATATATATATATATATATATATATATATATATATATATATATATATATATATATATTGGAGTTTGATTGTAAATTTATTTACTTTAAAAGTGGAACAAAATTTTAACAGTAAACTTATTTACTTTGAATTTTAAACACAATAGTTTTTTTTGTTTCCACTTTTAGTCCTTATGTTTATAGTAACGTTTTTTATTTTGATTTTAGCCACAATACTTTTTCTTTGTGGCCACTTTTAGTCACTGTGTTTATTCCTTTACAATTTTACCCTATGAGGGTTCTCCACTAGATTATATTAAACCAAATACCAAGTCCAAAATAAAATACATGTTTATTTATGCCATTACAATTGTAATTTATATGTATTTAATATTTGGAAAGAGCGAACATTTGCTACATACAATTATAATCACAATACAATATAAACACTAATATTCAAATTCCAAAATACATTATTCAAGCATTATTTAAACATCATTCAAACATCGTTCCAAACTTTAACTCTTTTAGTCCCTTATTAACAACACAACATATTTACTAATCAAGTAACAACATCAAATAATTATTTATCAAATATATTAATATATATTCGTATATTAAACCAAAAGAATCTACATAGCTTTAATTGTTATAATATGAAAGTACATATCAACAAACTACTCATAAATTATACCAAACTCCCTAGAAAACCTAACGAAACAAGCATCCCATAAACAAGTTTCACACATAAACACCCATACGTATCCATTCACAAAAGCGTCTGACACACTAATTACAGACTTATACAATGCACAAGATCTATGGAAGCCATGGAAGTGTACATGTTTCCTCCCCTCCCTATTTAAGTGGAGATGAACCTTAGAACAAGTTGCTCTAAGATTCCACTTACCTTTTGCTCTGCAGTAAGCATTGTTCAACATGTCCAATGCTTCCTGCTTCCTTGTCTCCCTTCAGCCATCAGCATCATTCCCAGGACAAATGTTGAATCCAAATGCCCCCATGCAGATGCTTCTTCAAGCATCGTTTTCCTTTCATGTTCAACTTCTACGAAAAATAACTTCATTTGAAAAAAACATTAAACACATAATTTCTAGTTAAAGTTATGAAAAACAAGTAACATATTATTTACTACTAATCATATATATAACAACGTACCAATCCATTCATGAATAGAATATTTGGGTTTCTCATCTTTATGCATTTATTGACAACTGCATGTTTCTGGTCAGACCAAACACGAAATCGTAATCCATATAACTCCATATGTTTATATACTTCATCCGTTTTTCCTGCCTCATTGAAGAATCTGCAATTGCAAACGAAACACAATATTTGCTCCATAATGTAAAGACAACTCAAATACACTTGTGAAATAAAATGATCAAAGGAAAAACTTACACACTCTTCATCTTGAAAGCCTCGACTGTTGAAATTTTTTCCAAGTCGACTATTATTTTCTCCATCACTTCAGATGGCATGTCTGTTAGCGATTTCGTTTGATTTCTTGATTGAATCTTAGAAGAAGTACTGGCTTCCATAATAATAAACATTCACTAAGATAACGATTCTGTGAAAATGATTTTAGGGTTTTTTGACTGTCGGAATTTTGAAATTGGGGTTATTTGCAAGTGACTGAAATAAGAGTGAAGAACTGAAACAACTTGTTTCGTCGGAAAACATTATGGCGCCTAGAATATGTTCCATTATAACATGACCAAATTGTCCTAATACATACAATGACTCTTATTTAATTAGTAAGGGTATTTTGTAAAAAGTCATATTCAAAAGAAAAATAAATTTCTATTTTAATCAAGGTTGTAAAAATAACTCGTTGGTCGCTCGGCGGTCGATTGGCGATAAGAAACTACCATGTTGACCAATGACCCGTATGTCATCCATGGGTGATACCATCACACCATAAGCAACTATCATGTTGACCAATGACCCATATGTCATCCATGGACACCATAATCAACTACCATGTTGACCAATGACCTGTATTTCATCCATGTGTGATATAATCACACCATAAGCAACTACCATGTTGACCAATGGCCCATATTTCATCCATAGACACCATAATCAACTACCATGTTGACCAATGACCCGTATTTCATCCATGGACAACATAAGCAACTACCATGTTGACCAATGGCCCGTATGTCAGGAATATGTCATCCATGGACACCATAATCAACTATCATGTTGACCAATGACCCGTATTTCATCCATAGGTGATACCATCACACCATAAGCAACTACCATGTTGACCAATGACTTGTATGTCATCCATGGGTGATACCATCACATCATAAGCAACTATCATGTTGACCAATGGCCCATATGTCATCCATGGACACCATAATCAACTACCATGTTGACCAATGACCGTATTTCATCCATGGGTGATACCATCACACCATAAGCAACTACCATGTTCACCAATGACTGGCATGTCATCCATGGGTGGTACCATCACACCATAAGCAACTACCATGTTGACCATGGACCATATGTCATCCATGGACACCATAATCAACTACCATGTTGACCAATGACCCGTATTTCATCCATGGAAACCATAAGCAACTACCATGTTGACCAATGGCCCATATGTCCATCCATATGTCATCTATGGACACCATAATCAACTACCATGTTGGCCAATGACCCGTATTTCATCCATGGGTGATACCATCACACCATAAGTAACTACCATGTTGACCAATGATTTGTATGTCATCCATGGGTGATACCATCACACCATAAACAACTACCATGTTGACCAATGACCAGTATGTCATCTATGGGTGATATCATCACACCATAAGCAACTACCATGTTGACCAATGGCCCATATGTCATCCATGGACACCATAATCTACTACCATGTTGACCAATGACTCATATTTCATCCATGGACACCATAAGCAACTACCATGTTCACCAATAGCCCATATGTCATCCATGGACACCATAATCAACTACCACGTTGACCAATGACCCGTATTTCATCCATGGACACCATAAGCCATTACCATGTGGACCAATGGCCCATATGTCAACCATAGACACCATAAGCCATTACTATGTGGACCAATCAACCATATGTCATCCATAGACACAATAAGCCACTACCATGTCGACCAATGGCCCATATGTCATCCATGGACACCATAATCCATAATCATATATATTGACATGGACCATACGTCTTTTGTATATAAATTTCGGTTTAAATAGAAAAACATAAAGATGTATAATTTATTAATGTGTAGTCCTTGTATATAATTGTAAGTTAAAATTATAGTATGAACACATCTTTACTCCATGTTCTTTCTTGACGTTATTTATATGTATATACCCTATCTATCAATCTGTAACTACTTTAAATAAATTTGAATTACTAGATATTTAGAAGTAATTAGCATAATTTGAACTTTTTTATTAGTGGAGGTTCAAAGTATTTCACAATTCGTTTCCCTCCAACCTACACACGTTTATGCTGCATATTAGGGTAATTAAGTTTACCGATTAGAAATAGGGTTTACATTTTTGGTAATCATCATCTCCAGCCGCTTATTGATCGAAATCTTTGTTAATTATATGTTTGTGCACTGACTTTGGAGAAATAGGTTGTCACTCATCTAAAATTTATATTTATTTAATTTAGTGTTGTCGTGATGATCGATCGTTTTTTGTTCTCTGATCATCTTCATGTAAATTGGTTTTGATTGTATTCAATAGTTTGCATGAAAAGTAATGTCTTCATCTGTAATTTATTTTTATTGATTGTGTCAGAAAGATGTTGACCTCGAAAGCAAAAGGAGCATCTGGTGTGACGCCAACTAAATTCATTGCACCACAAGTTATGAAACGCAACAGGATTTCTGCTGCGACATTCATAAACAAACAGTTACAAGATGAAAAATTCGACTTGCCAATACGAACAACCACATCCAAAGCACCTATAACATCTACCAACAAAACTCCTAAACCTATATCATTAACATCACCCATGACTAAGTCTTCCTCGGCATCACTTAAAACATCCACATCCTCCTTAGAAAAAAAACATTTAAAACTTCAGAAACTAGAACAATACGATCGTTAACACGAACTTCAATAACGAAAACGTCAGAACCTACATCATCCAAACCATCCTCAAAACCAACACCCACTACCACATCATCAACACCTATATCTACTACTGCAACCTTAAAACCTGCATCTACACTACCATCCTCCACAAACTACAATAACTACCACACCCTCCTTAAGTAAAGGAACTACCACATCCTCAACATATACATCTATCCCAACACCTACCCCAGAATATGCCCCGTCAACAACACCTATCCTAGAATCTACCCCATCACCAACACAACCACCCATGAATGGATCTGTAGTGGAAAGTGTAGAAGGTGAAAACAATTCCTATGAAGATTGTGGACCAGATGGACATTTTAATGTTCATGTTTGGAAAGATACGTGAGTTACCAATTCAAATCTTAATTACAACTTTTTTTATGTATTAAATTTTGGTTTAAACCTACATATCAATTCACAAATTAACATATCACATGTTTACTTACAGGCTAATGCCACCAGGCCCTTGTGCACACGTTATTAGTTGGTCATTTAAAGAAAGAGTAGATCCAGAAGGGTACGCTTGGGCACAAGTAAGCAAAGAAATGCGCAAATTATATTGTGTGACATACACGTTTTGAAATCGTGTTTTGTAAATTTTAAAAGTGAATAATATTAAGAAGTATTATGTGATAGTGAGTATTGAGTTCTAACAGATAGTTTTTGCTAGAAATAAAGTAAAACTATGTTTAGAATCACTCGGAAAGTATTGGAAGTCTTATGAGATTCCAATCTAATATTGAAATTTAACGAAAATATAAAATTTGAAATAAGTAAAATTTTATTATTGAAAATTTTATATAATCCTGTTAAAAACATTTAGGCGAAAACCTCATCGAAATCCGAGTTATAATGAAAAAGTTATGACTATTTGAAGTTTCGCGACAGAACCAACACGATGCCGAATGACGTAAAAAGTGAGTTTTTTATACACTACTTTTTAGCCTATATGATCTAAATGAAAGTCGTAGTATTCATTAAAATGAGAATTTCCATTAAAAGAACATCAAAATCAGACTTCATATGTGGAAGTTATGATTTTTGTAAGTTTCGATATCGCAGTCGACAGCTAAAAAAAAACTCGAAATAAAGATCGAGTGAGTTTTAGCTAACACAACCTAAATGAGAATCGAAGATCTCGTCGATTGTAGTTCAATGGTAAAAAGAAAGAAAAAAAACGGACGTCAGATGAAGAAGTTATAAATTTTTAATGGACTTTCCTGTCCCAGCCTGTTAAAAATATAGCTTTAGAAATGAAGTCAAAATTAGCCGATGGAACGAAAGTTGTAGAGCGTAATCTCACCTACAAGTGGATATAAAGAACGTCAAAAAGGAGCTCATATACGAAAGTTACGAATTTTTGAAATTTAGAAATTCGGAGTACGTCCAGTGTACATGAGTCCGCCCATCATACTCGTGTTCACGGTCCGAGAGTGGCCACGTCCTTCTCTCGTTACACGAGCCACACGTATCAGATAAGACGATCACGAATCAGCGTACACCCAACATACTAAGTTGTACGCCTAACGTACTGAGCCACAACGAGGTACGCCCAACATCCTAAGGCTTACGCCCTACGTAGTGAACCGCCATGCAGTACACCCAACGTACTAAAATTTACGCCCAACGTAATCTGGGGTTTCAGCCCCTATAAATAGAAATTGATGGCAGCCGAAGTTTGTTTAAAAATTTTACTCTCTTACGCCTTCTACACACACACACACACACACACTCTCTCTCTCTCTCACTCTCAATTCACCCTAACACCCCCCCCCCCCCCCCGCCCCTGAAGTCCCGGTATCATACCTGACACCCGAAGCCAGTCTTGTCACTCCGAAGTTCCTAAGAAAATTATATTTTTAAGCCAAAACTCTACCCGAGTAAGGCAGGTGTTCAACTAAAATCCCCGGTTTCATCGCAAAAAGTCATATTTAGAGCCAAAGTGATGTCCAAAATATCATTTATTCCTTCGGTTATTTCATGGTGAGTTCAATATATAGGAACAATTGTATGTTATGTGTTATATGTGCTATGTGCTTTTCCGTTGTTATTATTTCTGCTATTTTTGATAGCAAAGTTATACCTTTGACCATGTGATCAGTGAAAGGATTTAGATTCACGGTGGTACTGGTATCTAGCCTCTGGCCATGAAGAGCATGTCTCCATAAGAGAATGACTTTTATTCTATGGAATTGGTAGATGGTTAGACAGGGCTATAAGTCTGAAATCTACCAAAATCTTTAATCAGAAAGTGTATGTCTTCTGTGCCATTTGGGTTGAAGCTTTATTAATGTATATAAAGTATGGAAATTGTTATTTCTCATTGATTGTATATCTTTGAATCAAATAATCTATTGATATGGAAAGTTTGTCGCATGAATCAAATATG